ACTGGGATAGTGACTTCTATACCGACTTTTAGACTTATTTTATGTTTGCATTGTTTGCATGATTAGATGTGTTGAATGTTAGTGTTTTTTGTTTATTAATTTAATACATTTCTAATACAGACGTCAGATGATCTTTTGTAGTATAGTACATGTTAGGATAGCCATTCTTGCCTAACTGAATCCTCTATATTCTCTCTATATAAATCTAGATCTATCTAGTAGGTCTAGATCTAGGCTTTTAACTTCATTCAATGTACCAAGCTCACTCCAAACATTTGCCCATTTATTCTCTATTAAAAAAACAACAACAAACGAACAAATATAAGATCATTTTTATTGATGTCCAAAACTGGCTGTCCGAAATAAATTTTGGTAAGAAAATCGTAATTTAATTCGGACACCCTATTAATTTTTTATTAGTATGGAATCAGACAGCTTGGCTTATAAATCAAATAAATCAGCTCCAAAAACAGAATAAATATTGCAGGGCTCATTAGTATAGACTTAGCCAATCAAAAAATATAGTCTTAACCCTAGGAAGAGGTAAAGTCATCTGGGTAACAGGAAAAAACAACAACCTGATTAACAAATTTGAAATTCATTTTTCTTACATAAAAAGATAGCTAAATGGAAGGGAATTGGTTCAGAATCATTGGAAAATGGACAAGCACATTATACAGGTCGCTAGTTTTATAATAAATATTAAAATAATTATTTAATGACCACAAAAACAGCGAATGTCCGAATTCATGTAATGTCCGAAATAAATAAACTACTATAGATTAAGTTTAGAAGACAGTAAATCAAATGAGTAAAATTAAAATTAAAGTTAGTTATTTTTATATTAATTAGATCTAATATTATTTAATTATAGTCACATACATATAGTGTCAATAGTGACAATTATCCTAGTCTACTACCTAGATCATCAGTAGATGATCATGATATAGATCTAGATCTACTGATCTATATTCTATATATAATATTATATATATTAATATATAGTATAGTACTAAAGTAACTAAGATAGAATCTAGATCTAGAATAGATCTATTAGATTTATTTGACTTTTAGTTACAAGTCGGTTAAGCACATATTTTTCAAAACATTTCTTAGTATAGTTAGTGCTACTGGGCTGAAATCATTTAGACTAACTATTTTTGGTTTCTTTCAATCTTTGCCACTTTGGTCAGTTTGGTACTAATATGATTTCTCAATGTTTTCCAGATGTGTGGAATTAGGCACATTTGTAGCGAGTAGTTAAAGATGTGTGAGAAGATCAAAGAGATTTGTTCCACACGAAGCTTGATCAGCTTGCCGCTTATTTTGTTACATTTACTCTTCTAATTAGAATAACAAATTCCAATAATTGCAGAATATTAGGTATACGAGTTAACAGTTTCTGTCTGGTCATTTGTTTTGACAGTTCTTAAAAAAGGTATTATATGATATCCCAGTTAGTATTTTCATTGCATCCTTTTAATTTTTCTACAGCCTATTCAGACCACATCTTGACCATTTTTATTACTCTCTTTGTTGTTTTAAGAGTAGGTTTGTATAAGACAGACGAGTGTATGGTCAGATTCTCCATGTGGGAACAAACTTTTACATTAGTGAAGCCTGCTATATGTTTACATAGCATTTGTCGAGCATTTGACTCTGTATTGTGGGGAGGGAGACTTACTGGCTATAGTCTGGCAGTGTGTTATCAATAGACAGGTTGTTGAGATCTCCAGCAACGATACAGAGTCTTGGGTGTTTTAATCCCACAATGAAGCACATCAAAAATTTGTTTAGTTCTAAAAGAAGAAAGTCATGACTTAAAACTATATGAAGTATGCAGTAAAAGAACAATATCCTGTAGTCTCTAGGACTATATCATAGCTGTAAAGTTGCAAATATTTGTTTTTAAAAAATATTAAAAATGAATTCTATGACTCAAGTTTTAAACTTTCAGTGTCTTTTTTTTTTCTTGCAGATGTTGCAGAGATTTATTTTTACATAAGAATAATTTTTGTAGTTTGTGGGGTAGAATCATTCAAGTTTCATCATGACAGAAAGTGAACCTTATACTCAGCTGATCAAAGAAGTCAGAGAAAAAAGCCAAAGTTTCAATCCTACCCCACTTATAAAACGTGATTTTATTTCACTTTCTGATGGCCAAAATAAAAACATGCGAGAGGATAACATCTTCAGAATCATGCAATGGAATTTACTTGCTCAAGGTATGAGTTGTGATCTTAAACTCTTAGCTTGTTGAAAATTAAAAGTTTACCATTTGAAAAGAAATTATTTTCAAATGTTGAATAATTTTCTTTTTAAAATTTATTTTTTGCAGTTACTTTTACATGATCACCCTGTACATGCGATTTGGTATTCTAACTTGTATAGAGGGCCCATTTAAAAAGCTAAATTTGGTTACTATCTTTAGTTTCCTTGATTATTTTGACATTTTATAGCCTGGACTGCACATTTTGGAAGGTATCCCAGATAACTAGCAGACAGTGGACAGAACATTTCTTGAAGAAAAAGTAGCTTTTGTGTATTATTTGTTTAAAATTTAAGATTGGGTTGGAAATATGTTTGCTCAAAGGAAGTAAGATTTTAAAAAAAACAAAGCTGAGTTGTATTAATTTGTAACATTAACATCATAACTGGATAGAATCTACTTCTCCAGACAAAAATATATTTTTGTTCTATTTAGGAAACTTTTAACTTTTTACCAAACTTTCACAATTTTATAACAAAAGAATGTATATATCTTATTAAAAATTAAGTTTTAAAAAATACTCAGTATTTAATTTTCTGTACCGGTATTTCTGTTTAGGTCTGTGTCAGTCAAGTGATGGATTTATCCTTTGCCCTTCAGCTGCTCTGAACTGGTGCTATCGCCAGTACCATATACTAGAAGAACTTCTTTCATACTCAGTGGATATATTCTTCCTAGAAGAAGTAGACCAATTTAATTATATTAAAACATGCCTGGAAAAAATAAACTTTGATGGCCTCTTTCTGCCAAAGCCTGATTCACCATGCTTGTATGAAGCTGAAAACTTTGGCTCTGATGGCTGTGCCATCTTTTGGAAAAAGGATAAATTTGAGCTGATCGGTCATGATGAATGTATACTTTTGAATGATGCCAAAAAAAAAACCAATCAGGTTTCTCTCATATGCAAATTCAGAGACTTAGCTTCAGGAAAAGTTTTCTTGTGTGCTGCCACACATTTGAAGTCAAAGCCTGGCTATGAGAATTACAGGTTTCAGCAAGGTAAATATCTAGAAAGTATTCTGCGTGAAAAAGCTGCTGGACTTCCACTGATCCTTTGTGGTGATTTCAATGCAGAACCCACAGAGTTGGTGGTCCAAGTAATGAAGTCAAGTGAGCTGGGATTCCGAAGTGCTTACTCTAATCTTTCAGAGGATGGGCAGGAACCACAATACACAACTTGGAAAGTGCGTTCAGGGAAATCCGGAAAGAATGAAGAGGCTTGTCACACCATAGATTATATTTTTTACACAGAGAAAAATATAAAGTGTGTCAAATTGCTGAAATTACCAACGGCGGAGCAAATTGGTCCAGGGCGCTTGCCATCCTATTCATACCCATCTGACCATTTATCACTAGCGGCAGACTTTATACTTCTGTGATAGTTTTCTATCCTAATTTCAGTCATAATGTATTTTAGTTGCATAAATAGATATTTTTGAAATAATGTGATGATATTAACTCAGAAAAAGAACACTTGTATTGATTTATTAATAATTTGATATTTTAAATACTTAACCTTTGTAACATAATATTTATAAATATGACTGTTTCCCTAGAATTTGAAGTTGTACTAAACTATCATTAACCCTGAGCTATTTGCCAGACAATATATAGTTGATTTTAAGCTTGTTCTTTTTATATACATGCATTTGAAATCTAGCATGTATAATTAAGATATACTGACTCATTGTTGTTATGATAGTAAATTAGCAAATAACAAACAACTTAAAATCAAATACAATTTATTTTTGTCTTCATTGTTGTTGTTTTTTAACTTTTGTAGCATAGATTGACCAAATTATAAGTACTTCAGGTTTCATTGGAGCAAGAAAAAAATAATTCTGAACTATATTGTTGATTTATTTAATGAAAAAAAAATCTTGAATTCTTTTCTTGACACTATTGAGTTTTGGATTCATATATTATCCATTACTTGTAGACGTAGAGAAACCATGATTTCTGTGATGTGAGATCTGTTCTTTCATTACCACTAATAACTGACCACTTTGCAGCATACCAGTACTCATGAGGAATATGCTTACATACATTTTTTTCCGCTCCATGCCCTTGTTTTACTGAAGCTCTTTTTCTAGCAGAAGGTGGCCTTGGTGTAATGCTCTATAGCATATTTTACAATCTATTGTTTTAAAGGAATTGTATATATGATAGCCTTTTCTTCTTAACATTTCTGAAGGTAGGAGGCTAGTATTTTTCTAGGAGGACAAAAAAGTCATCGTAGTTTGACACACTTTTATAGGGTGGATCTATTACTACCTCTGCAGTCCCCATCACATGATAGTTGCTGGATAGACCACATTTTCTATCAAGTAGAAAAAATAACTCTATAAATTGTGTTTTGTGTTGCAAAAAAAAACACATTTGTATTGCTTTTTTAAATGATTTAATGATGGCAGAACCACTATACCTTTTAGGGAATTATGAAACCATGTTAACTTTCCATTGTAAACTTCATTCCCTCACATTATATTTTTTTAATAAAAGTCCAACATTTTAAAGACTAATTCTTAATTTTAAATGTGATTGAGGATACATTGAAAACCTGTCAAGTCATTTGTAGCAATTCAAGCTTTTTTCTTTCTTTTTTTTTTTTATGCTAGCATCATGTTTGAAATAACATTATAGGTTGAACTTTATTAATTGCTATTGTATTTAGCTGAAATCGGCATTATCAAAATTTGAAATATAATATTTTGATATATCACTATATATATATATATATATATATATATATATGGAGTTTGTATCTTAAGAAATATTATATGTACATGTACCCTCTGTTTTTATGAAATGAAGATTTTTTCTTATCATATTTATTTAATTAATGGAACTTACAGATATTTTTACCCCCTCCCCCCGACAGTGTTACATAACAAGATAATTCAAATTTAACAAGACTTATTATTAATTATCATTTCCCTAAATTACATTTCTCATCATGGTATCTTTAGAATAGATGAGGAAAGTATCTAGTTTTGTCAGCGCTACAGTGACATATTCAGTTGTTTCCCAAATACATATGCATTGGGAAAAACTGTGATGTTAAAGAAAAAACATGGGATATTTTATTTTAAACTCGTGGTCTAGCCCTTACGCAAAAGCGAACATCATGGGACCACTGAACCTGAAGGGATAATGCGATGTTTGTTCTACAAATATATTGATCAACCATATCTACTCTCTATTGACTGACCTCATTTCTCCTTTAGAGTGATCAAACATTTAAAATATCCCCAAGCAATGTTGTCCTTAAAATAATATGTACTTAATTTTTTAAATTTTTTATTTTGTTTCCCTTTTTTCCCCCTGGTTGTTATTCATACCATGTTGTTGTCAAAGTAACATCACAAAACTATGTTGTGGCAAACTGTCATCTTTTTTCTTTTCTTGATACAAGTTAATGTTGTTATGAGTTTTTGTTTGAAAACAAATAAGTAACTGTTGTAGTGTAGAAGTGAGCTGTGTGCTAGTCATATACAACTGTGGTCATTTGTGGTCTTAACATGTTGGCATTAGAATAGTCTTGGGCAGTCTAACAAAAATGTAATGTGATAATTTTTTTTACTACAAAATTACATTTTTGTTTAAATTAAAAGAAATAAAAAATGCACATTTTAATTTTACATCTTGTTGAAAAAAACAAAAAATAAATAATTTTGCAATAGTTTTTTTATTTTTTTATTAATACAGTGGAATAGCAATCTTGACAACAGGGTCAGTCTGCATGCCTGTGAATGTACATTTTGTTTTTTTATAGTTGTAAAAGAGATATCTGCAAAGTGTGTGGTTGAAGAAAAGAACAGCGAAATGCCCGGTTAGCTTCCTATGGGACTGCAAAGCCCTTACAGCGGTGTCTGTGAACAACGCCCCTGAGAACTACAACAGTGATTGCCACTACCTCCCTATGGGTTAGGGCACTGGCGTCAGCCGTTATTAGAGAGGCGAAGCGACAGTAATGACATTGCTCCAAGAGAAGATTAGCCAACTGGAAGAGTAGAAAGGGACGTCCGCAGAGCACAGTGAAGATGACTTCGTATGGAATATGCTCTCCGTCATTCCCACCAATCGACCTCCACCTGAACTGTCAAACCTCTATTGCACAGTTATGAGCCTGTTTCTTTTCGAAACGTAAAGCGATAGGAAGTGGGCGATGTTATAACCATGCCATGCACGCCGACTTCCAAGGCGCCAGCGCCATGCTAGTGCAAATAGTGCGCGCTGTTAGAGACTAGACTGAGAAGGATGTTTACATTAAAGAGAAGCATGAAGTTCCGATCAAGTCTCTCTCTCTCTCTACTCTATGGCCTCCTTCAGCCGTGAGGCGACTATGGATCATCTCATGGAAATGAGATGAATGCCTGGACATAAGCTGTGGTCGGAAAGATGTCGCCCACACATCAGTTCCCCCTCTCCACGCAGCTAATGTATCCAAAGGAACGGCAGTGCCGATACAGTTTGGGGTCAGCGGCGTCGCAGGTTCTGCCAGGGTGTAGCACTGGGTGCTGCAAATTGCCTTAGGGTCGCCAGCTCCTGATTTTTTCTCAGGGTTGAATCCCGAAGCCTTTCCCATGATTAGGCATAGCTGCAAGACAACAGAGATTTTCCTGGTGAATGTCCTAAACTAAATGTCAGGTGGGATTTCAGATTAGCTAGGGTATGATATGACATTACGGTCCCGTATCCCCAGCCTGAACAGAGTAACACAAAACCCAAAGGTAATGTAATGTAGCATGTAAACTACAAACATTGAATAACAGTTATTCAACTGAACCTTTAGTGAATAACAACAGTTGCCAACAGGAACAATATTTAATTAGACTTAGTTGTAATTTTCAAACATATTTACATGTACATCAATATCATTGAAGTTAGCATTTGATTACTAATTAGTCTAGTATCACACCAACAGGTTTCCGTAACACACCTTCACGCTCACACTCCATCTCGGCGCTCAACAGAAGCTCAACTCCCTACACCTCAACACCGATAGTTACTATACAACTCCAAGGGCAGAAAGACGACACACTTTCCCATAGCCCAAACCTAACACCCCTTACAAGGGGAACCAAAAAACCAGCTACCCAGCTCACAAAAGCAGCTCTCTCTCTCTTGCGGAAACTAAGGATGACGTAAACACACACCCACACACAATATTCTAGACAACAAAACGCACTAAACAGAAACTACTTCCTATACCCTAAAACACCAATATTAAATGCAAAGAAAAACTTCAAGCGCGCACGACACTAAACAGCTATAAATAAATATTAACAGTAATATTTAGATTTATGTAATATAAATTAATATCGCCCATATCATAAAGATGATTTAGGCCTACGTAAAAAAAAAAATGCAAAATCTTCATGATTTAGATAATATAAATTAATAGGCCCATTAACAGTAATATTTTCAACCATTTGGGTGGTGACTGAAAATACCTGTTTCAATCTTGTTTCTTTGGCAGTTGCTGCTTAGCAGGCCCTACTTCCTCGATAGATGAAATTCTGCTGATTGTGTTCACAATAAAGGCACTGGCCGGCGAGGCATGGTTCTAAAATTAAAAAGAGAGAAATAAAATATGTTATTAGTTATTATTACTAATTTAAATGTTTCATGGAATAAGAATTATCTTGATTCAAGTCATATGATTATTAATTCAAGGTGTAATAATTCAAACCTATACTCTTTTCTTGTTCTAGATTATATGCAACGGGTAAGCTTCTTTCTTTAGAATCTAGAAGAGATAAGATCTAGACTCTAGAATACCTAGATTGATAAACTGAAAATTATCTAGATATAAACTAGATTTAGCGTCTTGACTTGTAAGTCTCAGAAATGAATATTATAACTTGCTAACTCAACTCTCCTGAAGGGTTTAAATCTGGGACAATAAAGATGATAGTGATAGTCCTGAGATCAGCCTGAGCCAATACCACATGAACAGTCACATTGTTACAAATGAACAGTGACAAGTAGAGGTCAACGTGTGACCCCAGCGAGATGACACTGCAGCCAGTGTTCTCTGGAATCTACGCGTACAAACAAGGACAGGATGTGACGTGCCCTCACGTGTTGTTCCAGGGGATAAATAGATCTAAGAAGGGGGCAGTTACTAATGAACAGTGACAGATAGAGGTCGGTACGTGTGACCCCGGCTTGATGACACTGCAGCAGGTGTTCTCTGGAATCTACATGTAAAAACAAAGATAGGACGTGTTATTCCAGAGGATACTATCAGTGTTTGTGCAACTTTGGACAAGCGATTAGGGACTCTATATAAGCCAGAGTAAATGTGAAAGTCAGTCGTGAGTGAGTCGTCGGTACTGTTGTCTACTGTGCGAGACAGTAGAGGAGAGATGTGTACGACTCGATGCAAGTTAACTAGGGTAGTGTTAACTGGAGTGGACTACAGTCGTTAAAGTCTATACATCGAACTACAGTGGACTTGAGCCGTTACAGTCGATGTAAGACGTGTGCGGCTCTGATTCGGTAGACTTGAATACGACTTGGTTCAGCTTTGGGAGACCTGGAGCGACACTGGAAAGTGTGTCGTTGGTCTGTTCTGTGGAATACAGCTCGATGCAAGTTGAGAAGAGATGAATAGCAACGAAGTGAAGAGATGAATTGCAACGAAGTATAGCTAACTGTAAACTGACAGATATTGTACAGTCTTCTACGCTACATGTTACAGTAAAAAATTGTTAATAGTTAATAGTCAATAAAGTTATATGAAGCTGAAAGTTTAGTCGTCAAGTTCTTTACAGTGTTTTTATTTGTGTGCCTACTAGTACATTTAGCCAGAAGATTCTAAAATACGTAACAATATTATATCCAATCTAGGAATCTAGATTAGATCTATATTGCTATCTCATCTACTCTAATGATCTAAGTAGATATGGAATCTATAACTAGATCTATAGTCTAAAGATAGTTACTTTCATTGGCGTAGCCAGGGGGGTTCACCCCCCCCCCCCCGAAATGAAATCCCCCCGCAGGAGGGGGGGGGGTCGGAATTTAGTGACTGACTTTTTGCTATGATTTTGTTTATTTTAGGTGAGATTTTAATACTAAACTATCACTTGCCAAGGGTTTTTGAGTTTAAAACCCCCTACCAGGGGGTTTTGAGTTTGAACCCCCCTACGCAGGGCGGGGGGGGGGGGGGGGACGGAACTAAGTGGCTGATTTTTGGTTTTATTTTGTTTATTTTAGGTGAAATTTTAATTCTAAATCATCACTTACCACAGCACAGCCAAGGGGGTTTTGAGTTAAAAAAAAACCTACCAGGGGGTTTTGAGTTTTAAAAAACCCTACCGGGGGGTTTGAGTTTAAAACCCCCTATCAGAAGTTTTGAGATTTAAAAAAACTCTACCAGGGGGTTTTGAGTTTAAAAAAAGCAAATTACGCACTAAAATTCTTTGAGCGTTGCTAAGTTAATGCGGGGTTTTGAGTTTAAATCTCCCTCCTCCAGATGGCTTTTTCTTTAAAATTTAAACCCCCTCAAGATGGTTTTGAGTTTAAAATTCCGCTACAAAGCGTTTTGAGTTGAAAACCTTTCTCTTCAATATTATTTTAAAGCAAACTACAGTCACCAAATTCTATGATCGTAGGTAAATGGGGTTTTGAATTAAAAAAAAAAAACTCCAGAGATTTTTTAGTTTAAAACCCCTCAACAGATGATTTTGACGATAAAACTTCCCCTTTAGATATAATATCTAAAGCGAAATACAGACATGTAATTTCAAGAGCGTAGTCAAGAGAGGTTACAAATTTCAACCAGTGGCTGGGCTCCATTAATAAAGTGCAGTGAATATAGTCATCTGCCGAAATCGAAAAACACTAAATGTGTCTCAACAAAGATGGTGTGACAAGTCAAAAGCTTGCTGTCAGAGTCACTCTATTTTATCACAGCATTAATTATTATTTATCATTATTTATTTACTTTATTTTAATTATTTCCCCGTCCTACCCCCCATTTTATTCACCCGCCCCACCTTCTCCTTGTCTCACTAGACTGAGTCCACCACCTTGGCGGCTTTTCACTTGTCTTCCCTTGACCGGGGTAAAGACAGTCTCTTTGATCGTACCGGCCGGATGTCTGACGGGCGCAGTTGACACCACCTTGGGTGATCTAGGAGATCACTCGAACCAACACGCCTATTGACCTTTCCAAGGTGCGACTCTTGTCGGACTTCACCCACGTATAAGACAATTCTTAGCCTAGGACATTTCCTGTTTCCGCCCATATCTTCCAGACCTATATAAGGTAGAATAAGGCGGAATAGTCACTCTCTCATTTCTCATTCTGGCTGAGCAATCGAATCTGGACTACTTCATTTATTCTTACTCCTAGAGGAATACCTGGTGGTAAGCCGAACTTAATCACGAGTTCCATCTTAATTACCTTGTGTGCATATTTCTCACTGGATATTATCATGTGTATTTTATTATTTCATTTATATTTAATTAGTGCATTGTGTATTTCTCACTGTCGTAAGTAGAAAACACCCCCTCCATTCAAGCACGCTCCATTGTTCTCGACCGACGGTCGTATGCAAACAAAGCGTCAT